GTTTCTCTGGGCTCTTGTGAACATGCAGATCTTTTAGAGGGGCGGGGCCTACCAGCGCGATGTTTGGCTGACATCACAAAGCGTTCAGAAGTCAGTCCTGGGTCCAGTACAACTTGTGACAGTGTGATGAGGGAAACCTGAAGCCAGCCAGTGCACATCCACTGAGGAATGACCCATTTGGTTTGCGTGAAACGTTAGCCATGTTATGTTTAAGCATGTGACTAAATGTTACGATCTTGGTGGTAGCATGCTGCTAGTTAGCACTAAACACAGAGTAAAGCTGACAGTGTCAGTCGTTTGGGTCATAAATCAAAGTAACAAATTTTTGGCCAGATGAATTGTACTAGTTGAAAGGTCATCAAATTTTTTACAGTTTGGGATTAATAAAGTAATACAATACAATATTTGATGAGATGTAGTCTCAGGGATCCCCGTCTGACAAGATTTAGTTATTCCATACCTGTATGTACTGAAGATCAACAGTGAAGACTGAAACCTATGAACAGAATAGTTCTTCTTATACATTCCATCTTCTAGTCAGTAAAATAATAATACAATTAAAATATTCTGTTTTTCTGGGGACCCCTTTGTTTTCATTAAACTGCATACACTGAATATCAGTAGCATTTCATTTTGTAATATCTTAATTAATATGTGTTCCCTGTTCTGTCATGAATATTTTCTTACTTTAATAAATAAAACTATTTCTGATGATAAAACTCACAGTAATTGTGCTTTGTGTTTAAAAATAAATATGAATAAACCTTTTCTTATAAAGCTCATTTATCAGCCTGTGGACCGTAATGTTTCATTTACATTACGTAACTTTGCATTGAGTGTGAACGTACATACCGGCGTCGGAACATGTGCACACACACTGGAGTATTCTGAATGATACGTAAATTAGCCAATCATGGAGCGGGGGGTGTGAGGCTTCGTCCAATCACAACACAGGGGCGGGTGCTGTTAGGAGGTAGGGTGATTAAAAGGCGGGGCCCAAGTGGTGACGCAACCGGGAACGCTCGTCTGACTTGTTGGGGTTACTGGAGTTCATCACTTCACATAGTATGATGTTCTGATCATCCTACTGACCTACTGTAGCAGCACACACTGACCTGTGATCGATAGACAAACACACACATTGGTTATCTGAGGTAGCCCTATTTGAAATATAGGAAATTTGGGTTTAACATACATAAACTAATAGTTTATAGAAACAAATTCACTCTATTCTGTTTAATAGAAATCTATTTTATAGCTGTATTGCTTAATAAAATTTCATTCAACAGCATTGTTTAAAGGTGTGTGTAACATTTAGGAGGATCTATTGTCAGAAATGGAATATAATGTTCATCGGTAAGTTAGTGTATAATCACCTGAAAATAAGAAGCATTATGTTTTTGTTACCTCAAAATGAGCAGTTTTTATCTACAGAGGGAGTGGGTCCATTTCTGTTTCATGTCTTGTTTAAAAATATAATAGTCATATTGTTTGATAGAAATTCATTTTATTGCCATACTGTTTAAAGGTCCAGTGTGTAACATTTAGAGGATGTACTGCCAAAAATGGAATATAATATACATAGGTATGTTTTCATTAGTGTATAATCACCTCAAAAAAAGCATTGTTGTGATTTTCTTAGAATGAGACGTTTTTATCCACAGATGGAGTGGGTCCTCTTCTGGCGGAGTCCGCCATGATGAACTGCCATGTTTCTATTGTTACCCAGAAATTGATTTTATAACCATATTGTTTAGTAGAAATTATTTTACAGCTGAAATTAATTCATAGTCCAATTACACGACTGTGGATTGTGCTCTGCAGCATTGGAGAGTCGACCTGAAGAGGAGATATGGTAGTAAAATAATAAAACACAGAACTTACAACAGCCTTGAACATTACATATATTACAAAATATTACTGAGGTTTGTACACAATAGGTCTGTTTGTTTTGTGGCCTGTTGTTGTCCCTTAACTGCTCAGGCACGTGAGCTCTGTTGGAAGCAGCAAAATACAAAAATATATTTCTACCATAAGTCTTATTGTAAAATGTAATTATGATATTTGTAGCATTTCTTGTTGGGCTTTAAAAGAGTTCCCCACTTACACAGTTTGGGGAACTCACTATAGACAGATAATAAATGGAACAAATCAAAACAGAAGAGGCTGAGATATCTGGAAGCTCCTAGTGGGCTGAGCTCCAATACAAAATGGGATCCTACTCTTCCCATAAAGCAACTTGACATCTCTTCATTAGACCCTCCCTTTCAAACTGCAGGCTCTCTGTAATAAATGTGTGGCTGATTTCATCCTGCTGACCTCCCTATGACAACATCAGGGTTTATCTCTCAGACTTGACAGAGCTCCTCCAGTAGCACTCTCTCCATGAGCAGCATGCTAACAGACTGTCAGTCTCTAACGTTGTAATTTCTGATCTTGCTCATCCTGTCTGGGGCTCCATGTCTGCGGGTCTTGGCAGTGTTTGACGGTGTTGTAGAGGGGTTCCTTCTCTGCTTGACCTCGGATGGGGGCTGGTTACGGAAGGGAGCGCTGGTACCGTGCACCATCATCTGGACTCCAGCACTGCCGGACTCAGCAACCTCCACCCTGCTAGGCTCGCCTTCACCTTTAAGTGCAGGGAATACAAAGAGGTGTAATTTTAATGGCTGTTACAGATGACAATTTCATTTGCTGATGTCTTTGGATGTCTGAGTGGATCAGTGATCTGAGGTGTGACCATTAGTGATAGGAAAAGTATTTAGATCCATCCCTTTGTTAACGAAACATTTCTAGCAAACAAAGGACGTCCTGGAGAGGGAGAGGCTGCGAGCTGAGCTGCTGCTAA